GACCCATGTCTCTTATTTTGTCCCTAGTGCAAACTGGACCCATGTCTGTTTTTTTTTTTGTTTTTTTTTTTTGTCCCCAGTGCAAACTGGATCCGTGTCTACCTTTTTTCAAACCAGACATATGTCTACCTTTCCTTAATTCATTGTGATTTTTCTTTGTAGAATCCTTCACACCCATTCTTTTAGCAAGCAGGTTTTTACAGGCTAGGATTACAGTTAAATCTGTCCTGCTATTTAACTCATAGCAGGGGGTGAAAAGATGGATTAATTCCTAAGTGCTTTAGTGCAAAATGCACAGACTGTTTCAACTGGTATTTGAACCTGGCTTTCTAACTTCATTTTCTGTGCCATTAACCATTATGCCATTCACAGATCCCATTTAATATAATATCTCTCAAATATTAAAATACAAATGAGTTGCTGGTTTCAAGTTTCTCCTATTGCTAGAATTTTTTGTGTTCTTTTATACACAATCATGAGGGCAAATGAAAGTTCGATATATTTGCCTAAAAATAATTGTAATTCTTTTCTATATGAAAGGTTGCTGAAATGATTGCAACTTAGCCAATAATGTATTAAAGATACCTTCCAAAAGCTAAGCAAAGTATTAAGTTACAGGAAAATTACATTAGAAACAAATACAAGAGTTCAGAACTTTTATGTAATATCCTATATAGCAGTGAATGCAGGACAATCTCTTTACAGATGAAGGAAAAAGCTTGAGATAACAAAAATGTGATTCTACAGAAGGATACTGAGGATACTATGGGCTGAATATGTGAGCAACAACAAAGAAAATGGAAACGAAGACAACACTTATACTTAGCATCAGAAAGAAACAGTTGAAATTTCTAGTGCACAAAATGAGGAAAGATGGTTTAGAAAATTTAACACTCACAGGACATTGAAGACAGGATGGACAAAGGAAAGGAGTTCATAGCTGACCTAACAAACTTGTGTAAAGGCCTTGCAGAACAGGGATAAGGAGAGATAGGAAAAGATAAAATTTACAAAGAGCTACAGGACATGAAACTGAATAGCCATGATCACCCACGTTCTGACTGGACATGGCACATAAAAAGAAAATGTTTGGTCACTTGGTCAAATTTCGGGAAGATCACATCCTTTTTAATATCCATTTGTAGTAAATCCTTTCCAATGAATTTCTATAAGTGATTTCAGTATTTTCTGTGTTTCTATAAATGTAATCATTAAAGTGAATAAAAGTTTGAATGGATTTGTTTAATATAAAATCCTAATGCATTTCTATAGTAAAATCCTTTCCAATGAATTTCTATAAATGCTTTTTTAATATTTGCTATGTCACTATATGTAAATATAATGAATAAAAGTCTTGATATCTGTTAATCCTACCTATTATATCATATCTTATATAAAGAATCACAACTTTATAAGTTTTTATTTATTTCTTTTTTTTCCAAGGAACTCTTGAATAACACAATGGCTACTTGTCGGAATTCCTTGTCTTTGAAACGACCACCAGGACCTCCATCACAGAATGTAAAAGGAAGTACAACCAATTATCCTTTCTGGCCCGGTGAGTGTTTTAGCTCCAACCTCCCCTCTCCCACACAAAATTTTTTTTAAAAATTTTATCTTGCTAGAATGACTTTTAAACATTATCAATTTAATGTTAAATAATCTTTTAATTTCTATTTTTCAAAAATACCACAAGAAACTCTTCCCATTCAAGACAAATGGTGCAAGAGTTCTTTTATTTATAAACAAGATAAGTTTCAGGAGTTTGTAAGCAGAAATCTTCATAACTACACTAAACAGAAAACCCTATAATCTTAACCGCATAAGATATCTACACTATTTATATTGTTTGGACTGTTATCCTCATCTTTATTGTCATATCCACAACATTTAAACTGTTGTATGCTCCGGTCTTCTTCAGGTGATATACGTTGGAATTTTGAACCAAACCCTTTATTTAGTGACCTGAAGAAGGCTGGAGCATACAATGAAAGATGAGAACAACAGTTTGAACAATATAAATAGTGTAAATAGTTACAATATCAGAAATATAGACAGAAGCATAAGATATGTGGAAGACACCATACTGATGTCAGACTCTGAAGGAAAAGTGCAAGAAATCCTTGACAAAGTAGAAATTTGTTACTACGGACACCCATGTAGAAAGGGAAGAAGCTGTTTTTATCTTAGTCACAAGTGTTTCCTTGATAAACTAACGGATGGTTCCTTTTGATGTTCATTTTCTAAGCAGCATCCACTTTTAACAAAAGAGGAATGGGAAGTAAAAGGGTGAATGAGAGATTTTCGGAGGTCAAGTGTTTATCCGGGTGCTTGTCTATATTGTCATGCTTTGAATAGGTTTGAGAATTCTTGTGTCCTGAACAGGAGAAAGACTTGTCCAACAAGCGATTCTGAAGCCTCCATTTCATATTGCCAGCCACCATGTTGGGATGAATATATAGGTGAGGAGTTGGTAGTGGGAAGAGGTGATATTACAGAAGTTGTCACAAATATCACCTACCTACCTACCCACCCAGAGGAACAAGCAAAACCTTGAATAAAACCTCTACATATATGAAAACCTGGGTTCGCATTTTTATTTCTCAATGTGGAGTTTGTCTTCCATTATGTTAGTTTGTGAGCATGCAGCAAGCCCTTTCCCAGCTTTTGGTGAACACCGATGTGATCAAAAATCTGAATGCAATATGGGGTAATCATTGGTTGAGGGTCACGTGGTATGTTTACAGCAAAAGAAAGTGAGAAGAAAGGGGAAAAAATTATCTGTCAGAGAACAGAAGGTAAGAGAAACAGCCCAAGGTGGTTTTTTTTGGGGGGGGGGGGTAACAGTAAGATTCACCCTGTACAAGGCCAGGGGGTCACTCAAGGTAGACGGTTATATTAAGTGGCAGTTTTTGTGTGAATAAGAGGAGAAGATAATGATTAACCCTAGACTTGAACAGGTTAAGATTGTCGTGATCTGGGGAAACTCCTCTTGGGAGTTGATTCCACAGGGCTGTGGCTTGCAGGAAAAAGCTGTTTGAGTGAAACTTACTTCTCACTGATGGAATATGGGGGGAATGTATGAGCTACAAATTGGCAATGTCAGTTTCTTTATATGCTTGATTTTACCTGGGTACAGTTTTAATGGATGGAGGAAAATGTAGCATAAAAATCCAAAGGTAGATCAAAATAGTGAAAGATGCCTTTGAGAAACTAAGATAAATAGTAAAAGATAATAAAATGTCATTAGAAACAAAGAAAAGGGTGCTGATCTACTTTGTCATATCTGTCATTCTCTGTGGCAATGAATTTTGAGAAATCTTGATGAAGATGAAGCAGAGATTCAAAGTGACAGAGACATGATTCTGCAGATGATACTAAGAATATGACAGACTGAATATGTGGGCAATGTAGAAGTTAGTTTTAAGGAAAATGGAGACAAAAAGGACACATGCTTAAAATCAGAAAGAGACAATTCAAATTTTATAATGAGAAAAGGAGACCTGTAAAATTTACCACTCACAGGACATATAGGTAAGATGAGCAAAAGGAAACATCAAGTAACCTAGCTGAGAACTTTGTGTGAATGGATAGGAGAGCAAGGACAAAGAGGGATGCTAAAGAGGAAAGTTTTGCTTAGTACTTCAAGGAATAGGAAGTTGTGGAGTCATGATTACCCACATCCTCAAGAGACATGATAGATGAAAGAGAACTTTATTTCTGACACTGATCTGTTTGCTGGTACTGATGTTGCTTGAAGAAATTATTTAAAATAAATATTTATTTACACAAAGTTACTTCCACTCTTTCAGTTGATATAAAAAAGATTGTCATAAAAATTTGTACATTTCTTTCAGTTATTTTAGGAATAACACTTGTTGATTAACCTTCCAGAGAGCAATTCCTAAGTACCTTCTTGGTGTTGTGTTTTTCACTGACATGAAGTGGAGTGATTATATTGAATCAATTGCTAGGTAGGCTGCTAAGAAGGTTGGTTCATTATGAAATTTTACAAAGTTCAAATCTCCTTATATACACATGCAACCTCCTTTCAATATTTGCCGAGGCAGGAAATAAAATCTCTTTTATAGCAGTTTGTTGGACCCTTTACAGTTTTCTATTCATGGATATGAATTAGTCTGTTTTTCTTTGCAATATATTCCACTCGTTGACATTCTAGCCCCGTTTGGTTAGCAGTAACTCATTTGCATGAGCTCGCTGACCTCATTTAGTGTACAGGCTTTCTTTTTTCTTTCTGCAAAAACAGCATGCGATATGAAAGTGTTTTGTCCTTCAGGGTATATTGCTATTTTCTTCTGTACAGTCATGCCAGACAATTTTTCTCATCAGACTCCATCTTGCACATTTGTAAGTCTATCATTTATTCATTCATGCATTGAATATTGCTGCCATATGTTGTGTACTCCTGTTTATATATTTTGAGATTCTCAACAAAATCCAAAGAAAGGTCTTTATTATTATTGGTCCTGAGCTGATTTCTCAATTTCAGTCATTTTCCCCGTTGCTGTAACATGGCTTCTATCTGTCTTTTCTATATATATATTTTCATGGCAATTGATATTGGTATCTCAACTGCATGATTTTAAGTGTACTACTAGATTGGCAATTAGGTCTCATTGTTTTACTGTTGAAATAGCTAGATGTAATTGAAAGTCCTATTCAAATAATTTCTTTTTTCACACTTCTTGCATGTGAAACACTCTTCTTGCTTCCTTGCCACCTATGATATGCAAAAATTTAAATGCAGCATCATACGCCATCTTCTGTCTTCCTGAAACCTGTTTTCTTATTGTCCTTTCTGCTCACTGAAATCTTCTCATTTTCTTTCACTCTCAGTAACCTCTTGCATCTTAGTGGCATTATCACCTTGCTTGAGGTGAAATGATTAAAAAAAAAATGATTCATTTTTAATGCTTTTACCATATCATTCCTTTTCAAGTTTTGCTGCTTAGTGTGGACAATTTATTAGATTGGAGAGCTTACGGCCACATCATGTTGAAACACTAGTTCCCATACAATCGCCGAAGTTAAGCAATATTGAGTCTGGTCAGTATCTAGATAGGTGACCACTTGGCAATACCAGGTGCTTTTTTGGTTGTGTAGGTGGTGTAATGGATAACTTGGAATTGCTAATTGAAGAGCCAAATTCCAATTACTGTTTAATCTCGCTATAGTCACTTATGCACAAAAACCCTTGCAAAAGATATGAATCCACTTCTCCACCCCCCCCCAAATATGTGTTAATTAGTTAATTTGTATCACTAAATTATTATTATCTCAAAAAAAATCTTAGAATCTAAAAATATTTCCTGGCTTTAAATAACATGCAAAAGGTTGATAAGCCATAAAAAACATCAATCAATCAATCAATTATTAGATTGGTGCAAAAAATAATTGGGGTTTGTAAACATCAAATTTAATGCTGTATATTTCAGATTAGAATAAAATTTAATGAAATATAAATCATCTATACAGTTACCAATGATAAAGTATATTTATTCTGGGAGCATAAAATTCTGGAGTCTTGAAACCAATGCCAATGAGCTCTTTGAAGGAGTTTTGAACTGCTACTTAATTTCCTGCTATCATCTATTGCAGGAAATTGTCAAAATGCTTGAAAAATGGTACTTGTTTGTAGAGAGAAGTCTGATGAGTAAAGGTTTTTTAGTAGCTCAGTTTGTTTAATTTCTGCTGAGTTGTTTGCAAGACATGCAGACAGGAGAATTGGTCATTTTTGATTGGCTCATATTGGGCATAAGCATTGAGGTTCTTAATGTGACAGCCTCTGGTGGTCGCAGCACCAATATGTGATGTCCTCTGGTTGCCAATATATGACACTGCACTGTCAGCCTGTGGTCAACTCCCAGTTGTGGCGTGAAGCTGTAAGGTTTCTTCCACCAGCGTTTTGGGGTTGACTCCTTGTTACTGCCACCAGCCTGTGTCCCAGTCAATCTGGTTGTTCCCAGTTCGATACCAGCTTTGTTGTTCCCAGCTCACTTCCAACGTCTGGTTACCGAAGTAACTACTTTGATCTCAAGTCTAACCTACCCACATTGTGACTTTGATCTTAGGTAGACAAAATCAATCAGGCGTCGGTCCGTAGTGCAAGCTGAATCCAGGGTGAAGGTGATATCACACAAGTGTAAGTAAAAGAAACAATAAAACAAAACTCAAGAGGTTCAAGTATGTTGAGAAATAACAAATTATCTTTATTTGTCTGTTATATACAGGAGTGTGTTTCTCTCCCAGCCCGTTTCTATGGATTTGTGACACTTTTGCGTTTCTTAAGCGAGTTTTGGTATCTTAAGCCATTCATCAATATAACTTGCTTTTGGTAGGAAGGTGAAGTCAAAAGGACGTGGAATCTCTCGGTCAACTTCTGCGAGGTGACACTCTGCTACTCAAACGGTCTCTGACTCTGTCCGGAACTCTGAACCCAACTGCTAAACTGCCGGGGGACGTTCATTTATATGGGTACCAACCAAAACCTGGTGTGGGGCCTGACATGGCTTGGGTTCCTCGATAATTCTTGATTCCCAACAAGATTCTCTTTGTTCTTAGGCCAGGAAAATTAATTACTTCCCATTTTTGGAAATTAATTACTTTCCATTTTGGGGGTTCTCCCTCGTCCGTGAGGGGAGGTCGGAAGAGAGTTATCCTTCTAGACTCTTCCTTTCTCACATTGGTATCTCATACCAATCCCCTCAGGAGGTGTTAACAACTTCTCCGCCTTTCTCATACATTCACCTCTGCCTATCACTCATGCTACTACTTGACCAATGATCTCTCAGCAGTGTGGGTGGGGCTAGACTGGGTCAAGAACCCGACATCTGGCTTCTCTGCAAAGTCAACTTTTAACGGGTGGGGGGGGGGGGGTCCGCGTTTACTTGAGAAATTAAATTCCCTATTTTCTTATGCCTTAAAAATTCTCTTATCATCAGATACCCTTTTTGATGATGCTGTACCTGACGTCGACAATTTGATAGTAACAATAATACTTCTCTCCACAATTTTCTTTCTCATGCCAAAATTCTTACACACACCAGATTGCCTTTCTTCACTGGACCCAAGAATAAAAAATAAATCTTTGAAAGATAATTAATATTGATTCTCTCTGCCTGTATTGCGGTCGTCTCAAGCCGAAATTTTTTTATGACTGCCATGTGTTGGATGGCTTTGTTTTTCTTTCTGAATTCTGTTTCCCTTGGTGTGACATTCTCTTACCATGACATTAATCAATTTGACAGAATGCCACATTTCACTTTTTCTTATGGATTTTCTGTCTTTTGTGAAAAGCATCCTTTTTTTTTTTTTTTTTTTTGTAAATAAAATAAAATCTTTTTAACTTTGCTCAGTCTATCTTTCAATATAGCTCTTTCTCGATTTAAGTATTTCCTGTTTTTAATTAGTTAGCCAATTACCATAGCTAAATAGTATCACATAATGAATTTTTTCAATTTCTTGTCAAATTCTTCTCTACTGTTATTTCACCAAGACTCAAGAATTTGTCATGGATGATTCTACTTGCCAGCCACCAAAACACTGACCATAAACTACTTTGGATGCTGCCTTTGGTTTGGGGGAAACGTTTTTGGTGTTTCCCTCTCAACCAGCTACTTTGAATGTCATGCAGAATCCTTTTTTTTTTTTTTTTTTTCAAGTCATAATGTGATCAAGAAATTGTTGTGCAAATGAAATGTAGAACAGACTTTTTCCTATCTGAATTTCTATGATGAAGATTTATCATTATTTATACTATATTTGGACTATTGCCCTCATTTATTGTGAGGAAGGCCGGAGAGAACAATGACCAAAACATTGTGATAACAATAAAGATGAGGACAATAGTCTGAATATAGTGTAAATAAAAACAAACTTTTTAATGGTAAAATTTTATAAGCTTTCATTCACATCATGTAGCCATTTGTCAAGCATTTTCTGATTTTTCTGTTGCAAATGTCAAAAAAACTGATTGGTCAACATTTAGTCTTTCTACATCATCTCAAATTGTTTAGTGTGGGCCTATTTCAGTAATGGCTCTCAATATAGAGTGATGTCAAAAGAACATTTATGGCCATACCTCATCTTCAAGGTCCTCATCTCAGTGACAACATTTTTGAGCTTTATACCCACTGATGGTCCCCTGGTAAAATCATATGATATAAAATTGATTTTGTCACATGTTTATGTGATCAAAGTTTTATTTTTGGGTTGCAAAGAAAGGAGCAGAGCTGACTTCATAAAAGAAATCTTTTTTTGTTTATTTTAATATTTGTTCAGCCCATGCAGCACAATGATTTGAATTTCTAATTTGATGCAAATATTGAACAATTGTTGATTAATCAACATTTAGTTTATTTTGCAACTTTTCAAGTTGTACTATGTTTATGTTCTCTTCATTAAAAGTTCTCATTTGCAGTAGGCCGTCTGATCTTCAAGGCTCTTTTTTAGCCATCTATATTTTTAACAACCAAAAATAAACAATAAATGGTAAAAACAAATTAGCATAAATTAAGATGTAAACATACAATGTGACTCTCACCCAAGCTTCCCACTGACTGGCCATTATGTTGCATTTCAACTGGTATTCACTGAAAGCTGGGAAAGGGCACAATGCATGCTCACAAGGTAACATCATGAAAGACAAACGGCACTTCAAGAAATAATGCAAACCCTGTTTTCCATGTTATTATGCAGGTATTTTATTCAGGGCTTTGCCTGCTCATCCGGGTTGCTAGATAGATAATACTTGAAGCAACTTCTGCTATCTCAGCTCTTCCCCTACCAACTCTTCACCCATCTACTCGTCCCAACATGGGGGCTGGCAATACAAAATGGAGGTTTCAGAACTGCATGACAGATATGTCTATCTCCTGCCAAGGGTAGATCAGAACTCTCCCTGGTCTTAAGCATGACTGTTAATATAGACCGGATATATTCTACTTCCAGTTTTGTTGCCACTTGATCGTTAAAAAAAACATCATCCACCTCTTTACTATCTGTTAGTCTATTATATGGAAACACTTGACATTGAGATAAAAACCATTTTTTCTTCTTCTATGTGGAAGTGTGTAATACAAAGAGAACAAAATTTATACATTAAAATGGTATATGTCAGTATTGCAAAATCAGCATCAAAGTTTAAAATAATAAAAACTGCAATTATTTTAAAATTCAAAATTTACAAAATGGTTTGGTTCATATATTTTTAGAATTTAGTAAATGCTTATAGATTCATGAATAAAAAATTGTTTTCCTATTTATTTCTTTATAAATTGGTAAATGATAAATATTGCATTGTAGTTGGTTTGTATATTCTTAGAATGGTGTAAATATAAAATTATTCTTATAAATAAACAATCTAATAGATAAATAATGTTTAATATTTTTGCTGTAAGTTCTCAAAGAATAATGAAAATGTATAAATTCACTTTCACGTATTTGGATTTTATTAAAATGGAATTGCTTTTTAAAACAACAAACATTGCCAAGGTATTTGAGTTAGTATCTAGTAATAGCAGTGTCAAGGAAAAGCCACCCATTTGACACACTATTTTTTTGTGAGCATGAAGATTAAATTTTGCCAAAATCTTTAATATCTGTCAGTGATTAGGGACTATAATATTATATTGACTGTTCACAGCTAAAAATATTTAACAAATTTTGGTTATTTCTAGGTGGTATGGACAAAGTCACAGACTGTAAGATCGTCTCGACAAACAACCAAGTCAGTATTGATTTTGAAAATGGTAAGTACAATTTGGCTGGAACTTAAGGGCATCTATCACTTCTGATTTTGAAGAGAGATTGGCAGTAAGAGCATCATTTAGATTTTTTTTTTTTTTTTTTTTTACTTATGATCTGAGTATGTTTCTATTTAGATTCTTAATAGAAAGCAGAAAAATAGCAGAATTGGCAAGAAAAATCTTGGTGTATGTCTTCAGTGATATCATGATCTTCCAAAAACTGAAGATCTCCTTTCTTCCATTTTGGTTTTTGATTCTGATAAATAATTTCTTGCATTATCCCATTATTATGTTATCTGAAAAAAAATGTATATTATAAAAGAAAAACTGATTCACTGTCAG